CTAGACTTTGAGCTTCCTTTTTTTATTTAAGGCTAAAGCTGGCTCTGCTTCTATCTGTTGATGATAAGAATGGCAAGTACAAAAACGACTTCGCCATCTATCCATATTAACCAAACCTAGCTTTTCTGTCAACTGTCACCCTATGAAATATTTGGCTTAGTTGTCTAATAGTAGCTGCCTGTAAAGTAGTCACTTAACATGATTTTTAAAACTGACTTCAGGATCTGTATAGCTTCACCATTACATCAATAGTGGGAGGTAAAAGGGAAAATGAATGGGAATTAGAGAATTTATTCTGTAATCCTTCCCAGATATAGCTGTGAAAGCATTCTACAACACTGCCATGGAGACACAAAAATTAAAGTTAGTATTTGAGTGAGATCTCCTTTTTATGCATCAAATTTGGTTCACTTCCAGGTTCTTCTTGGCCAGCAGCACAGTATCTTTGATGGAGAACTCCTATTCTTGGTTCATTTGGTGGCAATAGTGATCTGGTGTCCATATAAATTGCCCTCTCAAAATGGGCATAAGCCTTATTACTACAGGGCTTAAACTTGTCAAAATCTCATCAGATCTTGAATCTAGAACCATGAAATTTGTTATCACTTGGAATTTTAGGCTTTCAGGCCAGTCACAAAGAAAAGCTTCTTAGTTCCTCTTAAAGGCATATGCAATTTAGGGAGCTGCCAACAGCTGGATGGTGATGTTTTGGAAGGTGACCACATGGGCCAAGGTGCACAGTCCTGTTTCTGGCTTACAAAGGAGAAATTTGGAGAAAGGGAAAGAGAAAAAGAAAGACTGGAGCTGAAGACCTCAGATGGTGATTTGAAGCCTGTGGAATTATTAAAAAAAAAATAGGGACTTGAATTTAGGGAGGAGAAATTTGGAAAAATTTGAAGAGAATTTGAAAGAGGACTAGAGTTGTTGAGGTTTAGGAGTTAAGGGGTGCTGGGACCCCAAAACCACAACACACGGGTTCTGCCTGAAAGAATTCGACCCAAGCCTTCTTTTAGCCAAAGACAAGTTTTATTAGAACATCATCATATTGGGCAGACTCTTAAGGAGTCTGAACATTAGTGAGCTAGATTATAAGAATCTGAGCATTTTAAAGGAGACAAGATGCATCTTACATACAGAAAGACTAGAGATCTAGGAGTGGCCAAGTAGTCTATGAGGTAACAGAACTCCAGGGACCTGGACCATGTGGCCAAGGGAGAATGGAGCTTAGATGGGATTAATGGTGGAAGTAGCCTGGGGCCATAGGGAGGTAAGATAATGGAGGGCTAGGCTAGGTTAAGGGTAACAGAATTGGGAGATTGGGTTTAGCTACAATGAAAGGCCAGTTGATGGGATTATAGTCTCAGGCAAACAACAGAGATTTGGCCATGTGGGAAAGTCCAGGGTTTTTCCTTTTTGGGGTCTAGATCCCATCCTCATCAGAGCTGAAGAAGGAAAATGACTCAAGGTGAGGAAGGAGGACTCAAGCAGAAGGACCTGAAGAGAAGGAAAAGCCGAACAAAATGTGAAGGACCTGGGCAAAGAGGGGTATGAAGAGAAGCAGCATCAGTAGCAAAGCACTTGAGCTAAATGAGGAGACAAAGGAAGACTCAAAACACAGAATGTAGCTAGTAATGATGATGATGATGATGATAACTAACATTTATTTAAGACCAGAAATTTGGTAAAACTATGTAATCCTTACAACACTGTAAGTAAGTGCTAAGGTAAATTAAACAAAGTACTAACAGTTGATGAGATTAAGGTGAGAAGAGAGGGGATCACCTGACTGTGAAAGTGTTAATGGAGTTGTTATTGTTGTTTGTCCTTCATTCTCAAAGAGGACCATGATATCAGGGAGGTGATGCCATGACATGCAAGTGAATTGGATTTAAGTGAGGGAGCTTTCTCCTTCTGAGTCATCTGGGTCCAATGGCCAGATAGAGATCAGGACAACTGAAGACTGCCCAGGATGCAGCGGGAGACCTTGGCCTTTTTAAGCTAAGATCTTTTCCAGGTCTCGGTTTGTCTGAAGCAGCTCGAATTCAGTGGGACCTATAGCTGTCCAATTAATAAGAGTCAGAGTGATCTGAGTTTAAGGCATGGTCCATAAGAAAGAAATACAGCAGGTAAACCCCAAGATAAATTGGGAGGTTTCAGTGACCAAAATTTACATTCCTTTGGGCAGAGCACCCCCAGGAAAGGAAGGAAGAAAGGAAGAAAAGAAGGAAGAAAAGAAAAAGAGTTGTGTTGCCCAACTGGCCAGTTCCAGTTGGATCCCTAGTGGGGTAGCTCCTATTACACACAGAGGTTGATGTTTGTCCTTCATTCTTGAAGAGGAAGTTATATATGTATAATCATGTAAACATATTTCCCTATTAGTCATGTTGAGAGACGAAACAAACCAAAAGGGGAAAAAAACATGGAAAAAAAAGTGAAAATGGTATGCTTTAATCTGCATTCAGACTACATCAGTTCTTTCCCTGGATGTGGGTAGCATTTTCCATCATGAGTCCTTTGTAATTGTCTTGGATCATTGTATTGTTAAGAAGAGCTAAGTTATTAATAGATCATGACAAAATGTTGCTGTTACTGTGTATAATGTTCTCCTGGTTCTGCTCACTTCACTTTACATCAGTTCATATAAGTCTTTCTAGGTTTTTCTGAAATCTGCCTGCTCATCATTTCTTATAGCACAATTCCATAATTCCATTACATTCATATACCACAAGTGGTTCAGTCATTCCCCAATTGATGAGCATCCCCTCAATTTCCAATTCTTTGCCACCACAAAAAGAGCTATTTTAATATTTTTGTACATGGAGGTCCTTTTCCCTTTTTTATGATCTAGTAGTGGTATTGCTGATGGGGTGATGGGACCTGGACCCCAAAAGGCAAAGACCATGTCTCTGGAAGCAACGCAATATCTCAGTAAGCCCCTGTGAGAAAATCTTTTCTTGTAGCAAGCACATACAGACTTGACCCTGTAATTCCTCAGATAAAAGTTATCAGTGTAGGCACAGGGTGCCTACCCAAGGACTCTGTCTCTGGCACCTGGAAGAGAACTATTTTGTCCTTTCTTCCCCAATATCTGGTATCAACAGAGCTATTTCTATTGACTCCCTGAATTTTCCCATACATTCCTCTCCCTATCCCCTTTTCTATATAAGGTTTAGCATCAGTCCAATCAGTTTGCAGGTTCCTTAAGAACTTTGCTCACTTCTATAGTGTCACAATAAACTTTGCCACTTGACTAAAAGACAGTTTGAGTTCGTGAATTCATTCTCAGTGATACTGCCCTATACCCTGACGTTTTGGGGTTCCTAGAACCCCTAAACCATCATTGCTGGATCAAAGGCTATGCAGTTTGATTGCCCTTTGGGCATAGTTCCAAACTGCTCTCCTGAAAGGTTAGATCAGTTCATAACTCCACCAACAATGCATCAGTGTCCCAATTTTCCCACATCCCCTCCAACATTTGTCATTTTTCTTTTCTGTCATATCCACCAATCTAATAAGTGAGGCACTCACAAGCAATTTGCCACAATAGTTCTACAAGAAAGCTGATAGCAAGAAAAGACAAGGGCTGAGGATTTCACTTCCAGTAGGTATAGAGGAGAGCAGGCACAATTTTGCAGGGACCTAGAGTGAGTAGGCTATGTTCATATCTCTACCACAACTAAATGACTGCTATCTATGCTTATGTATAGTTTCATCAACAACAACCCAACACCTCCTTAAAGCTTCAATGTGAACACCTAGAAGAAAAATCGTATTAAAAAGGAAAGGGTACTCCTGACCTGTGTCAAGAGACTGAAGAGAAGCATGTAACAGAGGGGTGAAGGAAGACTAAAGACCACTGAATCCTTGACTAATAAACATACCTAAGAACTTGAGACTCTTCCAAAAGCGAAAGGAGTGCATGCTTTGAAGAGAAAGCAGCTACTTTTCCTCTAAGAACGACAAAGTAGATCCACAGGCTCTATCAAGTAAGCTCACTAACTGGGAAGGGTCAGAATAGATAAACAGTGCTGGTTGCTGACTTTCTTCGGAAGTGGCAATTAAATACGCATTTATTAGCCAGGTAACAATAGAGAGATCTGAAAGTAAAAGTAAAAATTCAAAAAGTCAAAAGAGAACAGAAAAGCTAGGAGAAATCTAAAGGTACCACAGACACTGAAATAAAACCACTATTAAACATATGCAATCTTGTGTTTAACATGATTATAGCTTGGGGCATTCCTTTCCATATGAAGAGATGCCAATCAGGAGTACATCCTGATCCTAAAAATTGGTTCCCCTTGCCTAATAATATTTAAGGGAGCGGAAAGGTGTAACTGTAGCCCCATATCCCCTCTTAGGGCAGGTGGGTGGCTCCGCGTAAACAGCAGGAGGTCTGGAGTCAGGAACAGTCAAGTTCAAATCCAGCTCTGACACTAGCTGTGTGACCCTGGGCAAGTCACTTAACTGTCTGCCTCGGTTTCCTCGTCTGTCAAATGAGCTGGAGAAGAAAATGGCAAACCGCTCCAGTATCTTTGCAAAGAAAACCCCAAATGAGGTCACGTATAGCTGGACACGACGGACCACAAAACCCCCTGTCCGTGAGCAGAGGAGCAACTAACCGGTGTTGGGCCCAGGAGGGGAAGAGGCCCTGGAAATCTCTCTTCATCAACACGCTCCCACGCCACTCCTATACATAAAAGACATAACCTTAGAAAAGAAACCACAGATTAATAAAAATAAAGATGTGACTTTTTCTTTCCCCACCCAAGTTCACGGAGCCTCCGAACCCCGAGCGCGGAGAACCCCCACAGAGAGCCCCACGCTAAGCGTGTCTCGCTGGTTTAAAAGCCGCGGACGCAGCGGACGCACGGAGGGGGCGGGGTGACGCCCGGGAACTCCTTTGATGGCTCCGCGGCCTCGGCGGCGCAGCGCGGAGCGCGGTGTCGTCACTTCCGCCGCCATTTCTTCCCCTCCCTCCTCCTTTCCCGGGAGAGACGCTACGTCCGCTGCCGACGCCTGAAGGAGACTCCGGACACGAACACGGTCCCTTCCGGCTCCGTCCGCCGCCGGCCAACAGCCTCTCCGCCGCCGCCGCTACTGCTCCATGCGGAAAATGCTCGCCGTCGTTTCCCGCGTGCTGACGGGCGCCTCCCAGAAACCGGTGAGGAGCTCGGAGAAGGATGGTTGGAGGAGCGGCCTTCGGGGCCCGTCTGGGTTGTCTGGGAAGGAGAGGAGAGGCCCGCGGTCAGCGCCTCCGGTCGAGCCTGGCGGGAGAGCCCATCTTACGCCTGGGGCGGGGGAAGATTGGTGGGGTTGCACACTCCCCGGCTCCCGCTTCCCGAGCTGAAAGGCCCCGGGCTTTTTCTGTTCTCCGCCCCAGCCCAGGGCAGGGGGCGGTTGGGTCGGGAGTCTTCCGGCCCCCTGCGCCCCGGGGTGTTCTTGCAAGGTCACGTACGGACGTCCCAGGGACCGTGGGGATCCCTTTCACCTCCTCCCGTGGCTGGTTTAAAAATAGGCAGCGTCAGGTGTAGAGGGGAGAGCTCTGGGGACTTGGGGACAGGGCCTCCTGCCTCGGCGCTGTGACCCCGGGCCGCGGTGCTCACCTCTCTGAGCCTTCCTTTCCTCGTCAGGAGGGGTTGGCAGCCCTACGCTGCCAGGGCCCTGCCCATCTCCCGGGGCTGCTTGAGAAGATCGTGTCAGTGTTGAAAGGACCTGAAGTGATCGTGCCAGTGCCACGTATTGTTGTTGTCGTTGTCGTCGTTGTTGTCATAATTATTTGTTTGCTCATTGGAACTAGGAAAAAAGAATCCTTGGGCTTCATTCCCTAAAGCTTTCCTTCTGAGATTTTCTTTTCTGCCTACCATCTTGCTTTCTTGGTCTTATTAGTTCCGTTTACTCTTCATCTAGTTCCTTCCTTTGGTTACCCTTCCTTGGCAGCAAATTCAAAAGGAAATAAAACCGAGAGGAATGATTTTTTTTTAAATCCAGGATAAATAAAATTGGAGAAAATGAAGCCTGATTTGTGCAGTTCCAAGGCACTGGTTTGGGGCTAGTCTTAACACCCATCTTTGTGACCTTTGAGTTTAGCTAGATTGCATTGTAGACTTGAACAAACAAGGACAGGCATGGGCTTGATGATTCTATACCTTGTAATCCCCCCAGGGTTTTGATGCAACCTTTTCTCTGCTGTGTGTATGCACATACACACACACACACACAAAATAGTATTGTGTGGATAAAGATTAGGCTGGAGGGTGGGAAAGCCTCTCCTGGTTTGTCCACAACCCCTTCTTTGCCCATATTAAATTATATAGGGGAAGGGGAAGACAAACTGTTGCAGACACTTTACCCCTTTAGGGACCCACTGACTGTGTGTGGATTCAGAGGACTTGGGATGGAATCCCACCTCATAGATTACCTGTGTGACCCTTGGTCTAGGCACTTTTTTCTCACTTGTAATATGAGAGTTGGACTAGATGGTCTTTGAGGTCTCTTCCAGCCCTAAATCTATGAACCTATGATAGTATTACTTAGGGTAACTATAAACATACTTACTCTTGGAGGGTGGGGGAAGGGATAGGGAAGACTGGGTCTCCATCTCTAATTTAGGCTGCAGTCGAATCAAGCATTCACTGGTCAGCCGGGGACCTTTGATCTTTCTGGGTTTAGGACCTAGGCTGGCTCTTCCCACCACTCTTAGATAGCAGCCTTGTGGTTTACAGTATTGATGATGGACTTAGTTCATATACCCAGGAGGCTTAAGTCTTTTTGCTGTTCACAACTCCTGAGCTGATTCAATCTACCAATAGCCTCTCCAGGAGCAAGGAATTACAGGCATGGCAACCATGACCCATCTACATTTACTCTTAATCATAGTACTGTCTATTTCTATTTTTAGAATAGCATCTCCCATCCTTCTTACAGGACAGCTGGAAGGTACAGTGGATAGACTACTGGGCCTGGAGTCAAGGAGAACTGAATTCACGTGATACTAGGCAAGTTGCTTAACTCTCTTTGCCTCAGTTTCCTTATCTGTAAAATGAACTGGAGAAGGAAATGGTGAACCACTCCAGTAGGTCTGCCAAGAAAGCCCCAAATGGATTTATGAAGAATCAGGCATGACTGAAAACAGCCCAACAATAACAAATAATATAGCTCCAATATTCTGAAGACAGGTCAGGAATGATGCTTAAAAAAAATTACCTTGCCTTTTTAGAACTTGCCTTCCAATGCCAAACTTTTAAAATGACAAGAAATGTCACGCAAAAAAAATTAAATCTTTTTAAAAGAAAGTAACTTAAGGTTCTAAGATGTTGAGATTTATATACAGTAGAGTGTGGGGAAAACCCCAAATGAGGTCAGGAAGAGTCTGACCACAACTGAAGTGACTGGAGGACAGCAACAGAAAGGTGGGATGATACTCTACTTTAAGTACCTTATCTGTGTTTACTTAAATGTGTATACATTGTATCCCTCAGTAACTTGTAAAGTCCTTGGGAGCAGAGAATTTCTACTTTTTGTGCTATACCCCCAAACCCTAACACTGTTCTTTGCATATAGTGTTGACTCCATCCTAGAAAGCAGACCTGCACAACTTGGCAATACGTAGAGCCAAAATTAAAATAGGCTAAGCTTCTGGGCACAAATGAGTTTTTAGTGGCTCACTTTCCAAGTAAAGGCAAAATTAATGATTAAACTATTTTGCAACTAAGCCATATTTTTAAAAAGGGAAATTTCAATTAATTACACTTACTACGTAAGATTTTATCATGAAATCACATTAATGTTGAAAAAAATTGCTTTGCTAAGTGGGACATAATCCAGAAACTGCAATCAGCAAACACTTTTATGAAGTTACCTTCAGTAAAAGACTTCCCAGCAGCAGCAATTTCTTTAGAAATCTGAAAACCCACCGTAGTAGCCACTTCATTTTCTGAGTTTACTTTCTTGAAAAACCATTGTTGCCCACTGAAATTTTTCAACAATTTGGATGCCTTAATTTGTTTTTCATTGGTGTCCAATTTGGTTAAGTTGGGATGTTTTGATTCGAAATGGTGATGAAGATTGTGTTCCTTCAGAACAGCTATTGCTTCTTGGCAAACAAGGCACAATGTTTTGTCTCTCGTTTAAATAAACATGTACCTATTTGTCCACTCCAGATTAAACCCTCTAGGTTCTGATTCGATCTTCCATTTCTTTTTATCACCCATTTTACAGAGTCACCCCCAAAAGTTTTAGTGTTAGAACCAAAAAATCTCCACAGCAACTGCTCACATACAAAGAAATACTGAACTGAGTGTCTGACCTTGGAGAGAGCACCAGATACTCATGTAACTTGGAAGGTGGCCCAGCAACAAGGGAGGGGAAGACACCCTCACATTGTTGTTTATCAATTAGTGTGGCTGCACTCACTTTAGCCCTGTTCATCGCCAGTAATGACTGAAAACAGTGAAAAGATATGATTCACTCCTCTCTGCTAAAGACAGACTGGCAATGGTTAGTTGCCACAGGTCACATAACAAGCAGGAGGGAGTGCTCAGTGGCAACTCACCTGACAAGTTACTTGATGGGCACAATAATGACTAGTGGAAGCACTCATTACATTTTTACTTTCTTTTACATTCTCTACATTTTTCTTGCTCCACCTGAAATCCTTAGGTAAGCCACAAGTGACCCTCAAGCCATATGTTGTATAGGCCTGCTATAAAAGTTGGCTGAATTGAATTAAAATCTAAAGCTCTTTTTCATTGATACAAATTGTATTTTAGGAGTACTGACATAAACAGTATGTTTTACAGTAGATTTCTTTGTAGGTATATTAACACTTTATAGGCTGGATAGAAGAACCTTTTGTTTGTTGTTTAATCATTTCAGTCATGTCTGACTCTGACCTTAATTTGAGGTTTTCTTGACAAAGATACTGGAATGCTTTGCCATTTCCTTTTACAGATGAGGAAACTGAGGCAAACAGGCTTGAGTGACTTGCCTAGGGTCATCCAAGTGACTGTAAGTGTCTGGAGTCAGATTTGTACTCTGGAAGATGAGTTTCTGATTCCAGTCCTGGCACTCTTATCTGTTATACCACCTAGCTGCCCATGACTGGTTTGTTCTAAACTCACAGTATTTATTTAGTTGTATAGCTCATGACAAGGGACCATAGAGGCAGCAGACATGCAGATTCTTAAGTTATCAGTCTAAATACTTCTATAAAATAAGTGACAGGGTATTTTAAACCAAAAAGAAAAGTAAATTCCAAAAATGGGTTCAGGCTTGTGAGTAAAAATTTCCAAATATAGTTCTTTGGGTGATGTTAGTTGCAAGTGTTTATTGTCCAGTGTGAAGATTACCAAGATAATGGGAATTGAAATCTTCCACAGTGCTTCCTTTTGTCTTTCCAGAAAGCAAGGATAATTTAAATGTCTTGGCCTCACCTCTTATCAGTAAACCAGTTTACCTATAATATGGGAAATTGCTGTATGTTTGGTAATTGTGGAATTCTTACTGGATACCTTTTTTCTTAAGTATAGGTGATATAGGGCAGCTAGGTGGCACAGTGTATAGAGCTCTGGCTTTGGTGTCAGGAGGACCTGAGTTCAAATCTGGCCTCAGACTCTTGACACTTACTTGCAGTGTGACCCTGGGCAAGTCACTTAACCCCATTGCCTAGCCAAAAAAAGAAAAAAAGGTATAGGTGATATAAATGGATCAGGGATACACATAAGACACACACACATGCGCAGATATGTATACATACACATATTTATATTTTTTGCCAAAATAATTTTAAACTGCCTTTTGAAATCTTGGTAGTAAATTAAGTAGAGGCTGAATTAAACTAGACAAATGTTCATATTACCAGTATTGAAGTAATGTGGCATTAAGTGTTGATGCTGCCCATACAGTTGGAGTCAGAGAAGCTGTTTTTTATGCTTTTTTATTTTTATGGCTTTTATTCTATTCCTTTACTTCTGAATAGGTCACTCTTTTTGTGTCACATTCTACTCTGTCTTCCCCTTCTCTTCCCTTCTGTTGTTTACTTATTTCGGATTGTGTTGGTCAGGGTGGGTTGTGGAGCAACTAGGTAGAACAGGTAAAGTCATCATTCCTCTTCTTTTCTTTCTTCAATGCCTTCGTTAATAGAGAGTTTAAGTTTTCATTTATTTGGTAGCTGTGGTATGATGACTGCTCACTGAAAGCAAAACATGCAGAATTAATGATATAGCAGTATGTGATATTGACTATTAGCTTTTATTGCTAGTAATATTAACTCTTAGGGAACATGTTATTAAAGCACTAACAGAATGGCACCATGGTACTGAGTGGTACTTTGTTAGATTGATGAGATTTTTAATGTTACTTTTCACAATAATAATTTTGAAGCTAATTTTGCTAGCTTTAATACTATGAAGACTACTGTATACACTTTTTGGATTATATGGTTAATTTAAGAAACTCACTTTTTTGGAAAGAAAATTTTGTAAAATATTACACACACACAATCCAAAATATGATATTATTAATCAAAAGTGATTGCCATGGGTTACCCTAACTAGGCTTGGGACCTTTTCATCCCTTTCAGTTTTGTTCTGTTTATTTTTTTTTATGTGAAATAATTAATTTTTAAATTCTTTTTATTTTTTTTCCAACTACTGCTACTTTAGGGAGCTGCTAGTGAGGTAAGATATCAATTTTTATTTAAAAAAATTTTCTCTTTTGAGGGTGGGGGGAAAGGATAAAGGAGAGATTCTTAAGACAAATGAGGAGATTAAGCAATAGGTGGGTAAACGGAGAGGATAAGGGACAGATTCTTTAAAAGGGGGCAGATTAGGTATGTAGAGATATGAAACCTTTATCTGAAAAACTGGTTATAAAATTTTTCTCCCAATTTTCTGTTTTCTTCCTAATCTTGACCACATTGTTTTTATTTATACAAAACCTTTTTAATTTAATTTAATTGAAATTATCCATTTTACATCTCACAACACTTTCTATCTCTTGTTTATTCATAAATTCTTTTCCTATCCATGAGTCTGATAGGTAATATGTTCCATGTTCTTCTAATTTTCTTACCTATTAGACATATGAATAGGAAAAGAATTTATGAGTAAACAAATAAAGCCAATGTAGATTAGAAGGAAAACAGAAAATTGGGAGAAAATTTTTATAAATGGTTTTTTGGATAAAGGTCTCATACCTCCAATATGTAAAGAACTTAGTGAGATTTATAAGAATATGAGTCATTCCGTAGTTGATAAGTGGTGAAAGGATATGAACAGACAGTTTTTTGTTGAAGAAATCAAAACTGTGTATAGTCATGTGAAAAAATGTTCCTAGGGGCAGCTAGGTGACATAGTGGATAGAGCTCTGGCCTTGGAGTCAGGAGGACCTGAGTTCAAATGCAGTCTCAGACACATAACACTTACTAACTGTATGACCCTGGGCAAGTCACTTAACCCTGATTGCCTCACCAAAAAGGAAAAAATGTTTCTAATCAATGTTGATTAGAGAAATGCAAATTAAAACAACTTTGCTATATTAACTTATACCTATCAGATTGGCTAAAATAATAGAAGGGGAGAAGAACAAAAGATTTTCTTTGTGCATCAGTTTCTTCAGCTGCAAAATGAGGTGTTTGGGTTAGATGACCTCTAATATCCTTCCATTTCTAACTATGAGCCTAAAGAACTCTTATGTCCAAGGTACCCCATTCTATTCTTGCATATCTGTAATTTTGAGAAAAATTTTTCTTTGTGTTCAGCTGAAATTTGCCTCCCTGAAGTTTCTACCTGTTTATCTCCTCTGGGGCCAAGCAGAATAATTCTTTTTATTCATTCAAATTCATTCAAATCTTCAGATATTTGAGGACTACTGTCATTTCTCACCTCCTGCCTCTTAATCTTTTCTAAGCTAAACATCCTCAATTCTTTCAACTGTTCCTTACGTGGCCTGGTTTCCAGTCTCCTTACTGTCCTAGTCACCTTCCTTTGAATGGCTTACTAATATAAGTATTGCTTACTAATGTTATTTCCAGAATATGGTGTCCAGAACTACACGGTATTCCCTCTTTGGTCCAGTCAGAGCAAATTGATCTGTGCTTCCTACAGCCTAAAATCAAAAGCTCTTTTGACATCCACGTTATGCTGTCTTTTTCGCATAAACTGCAACTAACCATGTCTTTTCTATCTTGTACTGCCCAGCCTTTTCAGGGCTGCTTTCCACCTTTCAAATGTAGGACTTTACTACATTTATTTGCACTAAACTTCACTGACTGGAGACTAAAAATATGATTTAATTCAGTTCCATCAACATGATTTAATATAAAATCCTACAGATAGGTTAGATAGCCAAATGCACCAATTTAAATCAAATATAAAGAAGTATGAATTTAATGGAATTATTTCATATATAAGATCCCCAAAGTCTTAGTGTAGTTTTAACTGCATGTAATAAATTAATTCAGCTGTAGCATTAACTTAACAAATTTCATTTACTCACTTGGCTAGACTTCAGAGTCTAAAATCACTTGCCTGTATGCCATGGAGCATGGAAATAGGACTTAAATGGAAGATTTTATATAAGCTATTATGTCATGAAATTGACTATTAGATTCTTCAAGACACACACAAATAATATTTTACTAATGGAAAACATGGGTTTTGGTTTCTGTTGGTTTTTTTTTTTTTTAACCTTTTTCTAGGTACTTTGTCAATTTGTTTTTAAAAGCATTTATTTTAATGTGGAAAATAGTGATTTCTAAATTCTGGCTTGATAAATTACATTAGGTATAGCATTTTATATCAGTACATCCAAATAGAAAGCTCTATTTTAATTCACTTTGATGTTTAGTTGTTAGTAATTTATCATTAATTTAAAAAAGTAATAATAGGGCAGGCAGTTGTCTTCAAATCTTTAAAGTCTAACCATTTCTATTTAGGGGCAACTTGTGATTCCATATCCCCTCTTTCCCAGTGCTGCTGGCCTTTTGGTGTGGGAGGGAAAAGCCCCACTGGCCTGGCAAAGGTATACTTGAACGCCACTGCATTTCAAATACTGGTATTTCCACCCACTCTCCGTGCCAAACTTAGATCTTTCACTAAAACTCAAATCACCTCTCTGGTTGTAGAGCCTACAACAAATTGCTTGTATTTTTAGTAAATCTCTGGTTTTATCTTTGAGTAGTATGATCTTTTACAGGGTTCTTACTAATCCCAAGATTAAAGTGGACTCATTTGCTTGACTGGTTCTAATTCATTATCACTAGTACTAGATGTTTGTAATTTGGATTTAACCTCTTTTATAGAAAAAAAAATCTTGTTTATTTGCATGAGGTCTAACCTATATTTAATCTTCTATTTCTTAAATAGTTAAAGTGTCAAAAAGTTGAAGATCCATCATTAGGATTTTGAATTTTTGGAATAATTTCCCTCTTTTTACATGAATTAAAGTGAAATTTTTAAAAGTTTGATTTCTAACAAATTTTGTAATTTGTCAATGTCTCTTGTCAGATCTCAAGGGGAAAATGTTTTATGCCTATTTAAATAGAGAACTAAGTGGTCAAATTACATTTGTTTTCAATAATTTTCTGATCAGAGATAGATCCACACTGCCTTGATTTGTAGCTTCTTACCTTAAGTACTGCCACCCCCTTTGAACTTTATTACAACTTATCTTGCACTTTTGAGATCCCTTAGAAATCATAATACCTAGTCATAACAAACAGGAAAACTTAAAGTAGATTTATAGTAAGTATAATCTTTGACTTTCTTGGCTTTTATACATATTCATCATTTTCTAAGTTAGAGTGGAAAAGGAACTAATTTAGCAGGCTTTCTTCCATTTGTATGAACTTTATAAATATCCTACATAACTTGTTCTAAAAACAAATAATAGGCAAACATAGCTAACTCTGACCATTTTGTCTAGTTTTGAATGTTTCAACAAATAGAAAATACTTAGAGATGGAAGGAATGTAGAGAGCATCTGATTTAATCTTAAATTCCATTCAAGAAATCTTGTATTCCTTAGCAGGTACCCTCTGTGTGTGGCATTAACATTGAGGTCACAGAGGTTTTCAGTGCCTTGAGGACCCAGACCTTTAAGATTCCTAAGGCATTCCACAGAAACTTAAGATAAGAGTTGTGTGATTATTCTAGAAATTCAATTCACAACATAAAAATGTAATTGGTTTCGTAAATGATTTGGTAGCAGCCAAAAGTAGCCAATTATTGAGTTTTACTGCTAAGGCTTTTCTCTTCCCAGCATTTTGTCATTTTTTTCCCCAGAGTTGAACTGAAAGTTTGGTTGCTTTCAATATTCAAACTCATATTTAATAATTATTCTCATTTCTGCAGGACTTTTCCTATAATAACATTGTTCAGATAGTTGGTACAAATATTTTTATCTTAGGGATCTGAGGTTAAGCCCATGGTGACACACCTAGAGAGTTGTCAGAGCCAGCATTCTAACCCAGCTATCTTGATTCCAACATTCTTCCTACTGTGTTACAGTGCCTTTTAAACTTTTGAGGCCCACTAATTTCATTTTGTTTTTACCTGAGGACTACATTAAAAAGATAACCAGTATTACTGAGTAGTTAATGGCATGCCTTTGTGTCCATTGCACATCATATCTGGAAGGTCAAGTTCATTGCCTGTTTTTCTTATGTTTTGAGTAAAAACCAGAACCAGTATTGGCTTAACACATTTTGTTAATGTGCATCTTTATCTCATTGGCCCAACTCATTATATAATTTTGGTGGCTTAAAATATCTTTTTATCCAATTCCATAACATAGGAAAATGAATCTGAATGTGATAGGGATTGATTGAATCTTTATTGGAACCATGATTCTGAAAACAAAACTCCAGCTGTTGATTATCTATACTATTAAGGCAGACAGGGAAAGCACAGATAAATAATAGACCAACTCTTCCAAATTGAGCTGCTATTTTTTCACCCTTCTTCCTAAAAACTAAATTTATTGCATTTGTTTTGAAGGCTGGAAGAGTGCTATTGGCAGCCAGAAACTTTGCGAATGATGCTTCATTTGATATTAAGGTAAGGAAGATGCTTTGCTGTATCTTCATACTGAATTTTTGAGACATTTTTTTGCTTCTTTATTGGTATGGTTATTTTATACCATTATTTGACTAGCATGTGTCACAGCCCTCTCTCACTTAAATCCAATTCACTTGCATCACCTCCCTGATGTCATGGTCTTCTTCAGAACGAAAGACAAACAACTTCTGTGAATTGTCCCACTGGGACCCAACTGGAACTGGCCAGTTGGGCATCTTAGCTTGCTTGCTCTTTCTTCCTTCTTTCCTTCCTTCCTTCCTTCCTCCCTCCCTCACTCCATCCCTCTTTTTCTTTCTTTCCCTCTATACACATTGGGTATCATACCCTTACCTGCAGGTGCTCTGTCCAAAGGAATGTAAATTTTTGGTCTCTGAAAGCTTTATTCTTAAGGACCATGCCTTAAACCCAAATCACTTTACTCTCATTGATTGGCCAACATTTGTTTGGGCTCTGATAGGCTCAGAGTGAACAGTAAAAGCAATTGTTTGTTTTGGCCAGAAACCAAGAGGGTCTTCCCTTACCAGATTGATTTTTTTTTTTTTTTTTTTTTGGACTAGGTGAAAGAGGCCATTCTCTGCCTCATTTCTTACCTACTCGTAATCACTGAATGGGCGTTGCCTCAGTCAAACTGAGACCTAATAAAGACCTTAGCTTAAAAAGATCAAGGTCTCTCACTGCATCCAGGGCCATCTGCACCTGTCCTGATCTCTAACTTGCCGCTGGACCCACGTGGCTCTGGAGGAGAAAGTGAGGCTGGTGACTTTGCACAGCCCTCCCTCACTTAACTCCAGTTCACTTGCATGTCATGGCATCACCTCCCTGATGTCACGGTCCTCTTTGAGAATGAAGGACAAACAACAACAGCTTGTGTGCCTCACCAGGAAGGTACTTAATAAACGGTGGGTAAATGCACAAGTGAATGAATTAACATAATCTCTTAACCTTTTTTATTTTGGGAATTTGGTGGTTCAGAAAAAGTTTGCTGTTAGCTAAGATTATAATTTATTCTCCCTATTTATAGGTAGGGTACATGATACCTCTTAGAAGCTAACTAGTAAAAATGAAGTCACAATAATAAACGGGATTTGATTCAATGAAGAAAGTGAACAAGACATTTCTATGAGTGTTTCTTTGATAGTCAATGAACAATTCAGTTTTCTTAGGTAAATGTATTTGGGAGGTCATTTTTCCTTCTGAGAATTTAAACCATTTTAACATGAGTTTTAGAAAAACAGGAGATAAAATATACTGTGAAACATTTTGAGAGAAGCTACTTGGCTATTTGTCTGATTAGGTAAATTTTAGAACGTGTTGGGAGCATTTACACTGAAATAAATGAAATTTCCAGAAATGTGACGTTCATCGGCTTGAGGATGAACCTCCCACCACAGCAGTTCTCACTAGAGAGGAAGGACTCAAGTACTATAAAATCATGCAGACTGTCCGTCGGATGGAATTGAAAGCAGACCAGCTGTATAAGCAAAAGATCATCCGTGGTTTCTGCCACTTGTATGATGGTCAGGTGAGTAGAAATTTGGTGAGAACATAGTATTTGGATTTTGTTATCTATGTGGGTGAATTTACACATTGGGTATAGTACCCTTACCTGCAGGTGCTCTGTCCAAAGGAATGTAAAATTTTTGATCTCTGAAAGCCGGCCACACATTTCTGAATAGGTGTTAAAGGTTTGAGATCAGCATCTGTTAACTTGTAAATACAGTGAGGTTTTTTCAAGTTCATATGGACAAATCTTTTAGTCAAAGTAAATGAATCAGATGGTACCTGAGTCAGTTCATTAGCAATTTAGTGGCACTAATCATTGAGCCAGCTAATGAACTGATTGTTTTTAGTTATTATATAACTGTTTAAGACCTGACCAAAAGCGTAGCTCAACTTAAGTCAACCAGTAGACAAAGCAACTGAACCAAAAACCAAATAGTGAGAAACTTGTTAACCTAGTATACAAAGGACTATAGGGAACATTTTTTAAAAGTTATATCTTTTTATTTAAAGAAACATAACACAAATTAGAATTCAGTATGTTTATTTAGTTATTTGTTTCTCAGGCTGTACCAAATATCCACAGCTCCTGCCTTTTTTTGTTTGTTTGTTTGTTTCTGCTTTTTTTGCGTTCAACCAAGGAACATATAAAAGTATAATCAAGGCTTGCCTTGTACATACAGCTCTCTGTTTGCCTGCCCCTTACCTACACAACTATCTAATTTCTACTAGGGTAGGGGCATTATGTGAATGTAGAACTGTCCTGAAATGTGTCTTTGCCTTTCAAGTTCTCTTTCAAGCTGTGTATAATCTGATGCTATCAAGTAAGGTTCTTAGAATTGAAGCGGAAGTGAATTAGAGGAGTTTTTTAAAATACTGTTTTATATGTGCTTAATTTAAAAAATTCTTTTGTTTTGAAGTGCTTGACTCCTCAATTCTGTTCTACAGGTTTGAGAATTTGTTACTTACAGACATTGTGGGTGTTCCACATGTTTTAAGAACTATATTGAGTTTGATTACATAGTTTTAGTATTATGACCAGCTGTGCATTTTGGGGGAGTCTTTTGGAGGACAGAGCTTGGTTTATGGGAGAGAAATTTTCTGTTCTGCAATTAAATGAAATTTTCCTGTATTGTTCCAAATCTTTGGCAGTAACCTGATAGTCTTGCTTTTTGGTGAGGCAAATGGGGTTAAGTGACTTGCCCAGGGTCACACAGCTAATAAGTGTCAAGTGACCTAGTAGTCTTACAGAGAAAGAGCTAGATATTTTAAAATTGCTTAGTGACCTTTTTTTTTCTTTAACACAGGAAGCTTGTTGTGTGGGGCTTGAAGCTGGTATAAATCCTACAGATCATGTGATTACAGCCTATCGAGCACATGGCTTTACTTATACTCGTGGTCTTCCCGTTCGAGAAATTCTGGCAGAGCTTACGGGTTTGTTTTTAATACATTTATGAAAAAGATAAATTTTGAAATAATTATCATTAAGACCACGTTTCTGTATTTTTTTCCCAGTAAAATAATTACTGTTATGAGAGTTATTATCAGAAACTTTTTTCCTTTAAAAACAAAATAGTTTGTTACAAGGAAAGGTTCTCTTGGTAAGAGAATAGGGAAGGATATGTTTGCAAATATCAGAAAGGATATACATAATCTTATCCTATCCTACATCTTAATAAACTGCAGGCTTTGACAGTATTCCAATTTTACTTGTAAAATGTGAACTGTGGACACAATGTCAGTCATGCTTGAACTTTTCTCAAAGCATGAAAACAGACCTTTCTCTGTCAGAAAGAAATTACGAAAAGATAGTTGGGCACAGATATTCTATTTGTGAAATTTAAATCTCTGGGTAATTTCTCTTTTAGTCTTGATGTCTTTTATTTAATGTAATAGTTTAAACTGTTATATTTACCTACATGATTATGTGCTCTTTTATAATAGAAAAATAGGTAGCATTTCATCTCTTCCATGTTCTCTGCCACAGTGCATGAAATTGAATTACTCCTTCATAGTTGCACATCCCTGCTTTTTATCTCAAAACTGGCATTAAGTGTTATCCTTGAAATGTGTGCTGTGGACTTAGCCACTCTAACCCTTAGGTTTTAATAAGAAGATTTTAATAATTTTCATTTTCCAGTGCCACGTTTTGGCAAATATCTGAGGCTCTTGAAAGCTGTGCCTTGGCAGGCCTGGCTGGCTGAGAAGCCTCTGAGCCATGGCCTGGTAAATGTTCTGGCCAGTATGGCCTAGCCGACAGCTCTTAGACCGTATACGAGCTATAAAAGGTTAGGGTGTACATCAGGGCAGACAGTCTCTCAGTGTCATAGATTCTGAGCTGGAAGAAACCATGTCCAACCACTTCATTTTCTAGGTGGAAAATCTGAGGCAGGGAGAGAGAGGACAAGTAACTTGCCCAAAGTCACACACTGCAGAATAAAGCACAGTGGCTTTGAGCATAGGTCTTTGGACTCTGTTATATTGCACACTTTACACTGTACCAATCTGAAAAAATTAGAGATGACTTGGAGTATTAAGAATAAGAACCAGATGTGATTATAGGGAACTCCCAGATTAGGAAACTTCCACCACTAGTGCAGGTTAACGCCTTCACTGCAGCTTGTAGCTTTAGAGAATCTCCCAGAGCACAGTGTCTGAGTTGACTGACTTTCCTAGGATCACACAGCCAGTGTATGTCAGAGATGGGATCTGAACCCAGGTCTTCCTGCCTCAAGAGGCCAGCTCTTTATCCACTGTTCTGTGTTAAGACTAGATCATTTTATTTGTATTACTCTTTGGTTTATTCTTTGGTAACTGACAAGATAAAATAGAAAATGCCTGATCTTGTCGGCTTTGGAGAAGGAAAAGGCACACCACTCCAGTATCTTTGCCAAGAAAATCCCGTGGACAGTATAAAGTGCTAAAAAGACATGACATTGGAAGATGAGCCCCTCGGGTTGGAAGAGCCTGGTGGGCTATGGGTTATGGAGTCATGAAGAGTCAGACACAACTGAACAACAACAAAAATTGCCTGCTTTGGTGTGTTGCAGAAGGAAAGTTTCTCATTGTTTAAAAGTCTGACTTAAGATTAATTCCCTTTAAGGAGTCATAAATGCCTCTGGAAATCCTACTTCTGTTCACTGTGTTACTTCTTTTCTTGTCACCCTGACTCTAAGGCTGGGTATGAACAAAGGGAAAATAGGTCGTATTGGAAAGTCTGGGCTCCTTCTGAGGTGGAAGCCGGAGGGAGCAGTTGGGGACTGGGAGAAGGTCCTGCTCTTACTGGGGAATTGATGCTGAGTAGTTGGATTTGGAGAGAAATAGGCAGGTGCTGGATGAAATGAATTATACTTAGATTTCTAAAGAATGGAACCCTGTAAAGACATGTTTATATCTCTCACTTCTAGGACGAAGAGGGGGATGTGCCAAAGGAAAAGGAGGCTCTATGCACATGTATGCCAAGAACTTCTATGGTGGCAACGGCATTGTTGGAGCTCAGGTACTCTGGGTTGCCAGCGTGTCTGGGATGGACCAAAGGACAGGGCCTTCTTCCTAGGCCCAATCTGGGACATGAGGCTTTTCCAGAAATTATCTGTTTTTTTGGTCTCCCTGACTCAAACCCATTCTTTACTTCATTCTGTCTTTCTCAGCTCTCACCTCATTATTTTCCCTCCACAGGCTCTCTTTTACCTCTAGAATGAAATGTAAACTGTTTGGCATTTAGAGCTCTTTACAGCCTGGTCCCTCTCACCTTTCAGTCTCCTCACACTTGGCTACCTGCCCTATGGCCCCATTGCTTTGCCTTCACGTTGGCTGGCTCCCATAGAGCTGGTGGCTCAATTAATAGAGCCCTGGGCCAGTCACTTGACCTCTTTTGACCTCAGTTTCCTTACCTGTGGAATGGGAATAATAATAGCACTTACCTCATAGGGTTATTGTGAGAATCAAATAGGATAATATTTGCAAAGCGCTTTGCACATTGCGTGGCACATAGTAAGTGCTTTATAAATGCTTGCTCCCTCCCATGTCCGAAATGCATTGTCTCAGCTCTACCTTTTGGAGTCCTTGGTTTCTTTCAGGACTTGGTTCAAAGCCTACCTTCTTCGTGAGCCTCTCAGGTCCCTTCAGCTGACGGGGCACCCCCTCCCAACGCTGCCTTGTGTATATACTCATGTGTCGTGTTGTCTCCCCACTGCTTAGCAGTTCCTTGAACATAGTAAATGAGCACTTAATGAATGCTCATTGATTGATTGATTTCTTGGATTTGGAGTCAGGACCTAGATTTGAATCTGCTTCTGCCACTTGTGACTTTGGGCAAGTCACTTAAAACTCTCTGGGTCTGTGTTTCCTCATGTGCAGAATAAGGGGATTGGAATAGATGAATCTTATGATTCCTTAAGTGGCAAAGCTCTTTGTTATTTGGGCCATGAAGTCAACTCTTGATTTATATTTAGTTTATTGTCGGCTTTGAGTTAATCACGGTAACCTGAGATTCCTTACTGATGTTCAGAAGCTACTCGATAGGCTCAAATCAAGCAAGGAGGTAGGGAAGAGAAAAAGAAGCGTACAAGATTTTGCCTTAATGATTGATGAGCACATCTGCTTGTGTTTCCAGACGTCTATAAATGATTTTTGGACATATTATTTTGTATCCTCTTCTCATCAATGGGTATAGATAATCAAGAGGCAGCAGCTAATAATTTTTTGTTGTGCCTGCAGGGTATTTATTATAATTTCTTTCTTAACATTTACAACTGTAATAATATATGAGGAAAAAACCTAACATTGCATTTACTCATGTTGTTTCCTCCATTTTCTGAAAATTATTTTAATGGGGTCAGAAGGAAAATCTTGTGGTATTGCTACAATTGTGTATTGGGGTTCGATACCCCAAACTCTGTGTACAGGATACATTTCAGATACTGATTCCTTCTCCTGGTTTGCTGTGGCTCAGTTCTATTCTTAATTTTAGGTACCTTTGGGAGCTGGTATTGCCCTGGCCTGTAAGTACAATGAAAAAGATGAGATCTGTTTGACTTTGTATGGAGATGGTGCTGCTAATCAGGTTAGTGTATATATGGTAATAGATTATAGTTGAATTAATTATTTGGGGTTTTTAAAGAAGTTGTTTCCATTTATTACTGCTAGTTATCAGACAAAACCTGACATGTTTGGTTTTTATTTTAATATTACTGGTTTGTCTGCTTTGTTGTTGTTGTTGTTGTTGTTGTTGTTTTAATGATTAGAAAAGTTTGTCAGGGATTAGATGAGATCACAACCTTCACAACATCCCTTAAAGGAAATTTTGTCTTCATTGGGGTTTTGAGACCCTGGTTCCTTGACAGAACTTCTCCCAGTACAACATTATCCTGGGAATCAGTAGTAGAATTTGGAATAAAACTTGAGCTTGAAGAAGAGCTAAATTGTCTTTTTAGGTTTATCTTTTCTGTGATGGGCTGTTTGCTACCTTATTTCTATAACTTTGAAAGCACAGACAGTTCTTGTTTTACGTAAATTCACATTAGGCAAAATCCACTCCCTGCCTGCAGAACCCAGCTCCAGTTCCCAGCATGGCAATTTCGGCATCTAGGGTCCTCTGCTCCAGGCACCGAAGCCCTCTGTGGGGAGGGGGGGGAGGGACAAGGTGGTGCCTCACCCATAAGGAGAGGGGGAGGTCTGCTCAACTTTTGTTACATGAGAATTGACTGTGTCGGTGATGCTGATTTGTTTGATGAGTTGCTTTGTTGCAGAGCAGTATGGTTTTTTTTTGTTGTTGTTTTGAAAGCTTGATTTAAAAGGGCTGAGTTTTAGAAAGAATGATTTTTATCCTGTGTAGAGTAGCAACTTCTAAGAATGTTAGAGAGGCAGTAGGGTATGGTATAGTGGATTGATGGAGTATTAGACCTGGAGTCAGAAACCTTGGGTTCAGTTCTAATGTCGGACATCTACCCGATGAGTGATCCAGCAAATCACTTAACTTCAGTTTCTTCATCTATAAAATGAAAATAAAAGCTTCCTTTCGGGGGTGATTGTGAGCATAAACTGAGATGGTGTAAAATGCTTTGCTTACCTTTAAGTGATTATATAAATGGGAGTTATGGGAAAATCTAAGTAGTAATGTAATGAACATACTTTGAACCTGTGCACATTTTTTTAGGGTCAGATATTTGAAACTTACAATATGGCAGCTTTGTGGAAATTGCCTTGTATTTTCATTTGTGAGAATAATCGATATGGAATGGGAACTTCTGTAGAGAGAGCAGCAGCCAGCACTGACTATTACAAAAGAGGAGACTTTATTCCAGGAATAAGGGTAAGAACATTAATTACATAGAAATCTGGTTCCAATATGACATTTTTGAATAAGCATAATTAACACATTAGCCAAGAAATGTAAAATTATACTGGATTTGAGACTTTAATTTTGCCTTTTTATTGAATGTTTATAACAGGTAGATGGTATGGATGTTCTGTGTGTCCGTGAGGCAACAAAATTTGCAGCTGCCTATTGTAGATCAGGAAAGGTAAGGTCATTGGATTCTTCTCCTTCTGTCTCATTATTGGCAAACCCAAGATTCCACATTGTATTTACCAGTCTTAGCACTGGAAAGTAACCCTGTTAGTCAACAAATTAAGACACACATTTATTAAACCTACTGTGTGCTAAGCACTGGGGTGCAATTGGGGAGAATAAAGCAACCTTACCCTGCATTGCCCTTTTTTATTCCCAAGTTCCTGCTTCACCACTTTACTGGTCCATTAAAGTTGTGGTAGGACAGTTGAGAATTTAAGATAGCTGTGCTTAAAATACGCTTCTCAAGTAGATGTGGGATTTGGCTTTTTGGTCCAGGCTGGGGGTGGGGAGGAAATTCTGCAAATTACATGGGTTCAGTAGATCTGCATTTGTCAGTAAAGGTCATATGATCTTGTACCAGATCTTGTTGCCTCAGTCCTAAAAAATTGGGGAAAGAATGGACTGACCACTTGACTGAGGATTTCGCACAACTTTCCATGTTTGGCAGAGGGCCCAACCCTTGAATAAAGATAATTCAGGTTAGGGGAGAGAGAGCATGAAGAGTGACCGCTGAAATTCCCCAAGTGCTTTCAGACTTGGTGTTTTCCAGCTTTTTTTTTTTTTTTTTTAAACCCAGTGGCTTTGCTCTGAAGCTTTACATTTTCTTTTTCTTGGGTGAGAGGTTAGGACACTCAGCTTTGGGAAAATACTTGTTTAATAGCAGCAATTAGAATGAGGGGAAGAAAGTAAAGAGATTGAAAAGTGAGGAGAAATTATAATAGAGCAGAAGAGAAGCTATTACAGTAATAATAGCTTACATTAATATGAAGTGCTTTACAGTTAAAAGTACTTTATACACATTGTCTCATTTGAGTCATGACACCACTGTGAGGTGGGTATTACAGGTATTTCCACAAAGAAAGGCAGGTTTCAGCCCTCCAGAACAGACACTCTGGGCGACTCTGTTGGTCTCATTGCTATGTTAGCTCCAGCATTGCCAGAGGATCCATTCCAGTGGGCCAGCTGTTGTTGCCATCAGTATGATGTGGAATGAGGAGAAAGGGCAGTTTTCAGTGAATGGCTTCAGTTTTTTCCACAAATTATGAGGTGAAGTCCTCAGCATAGAGGGAGAAGAGATGGGAGAGACTTGAGGTCAGAAGTAAAGATTTGAAGCAATTGCTGTGAAGAGTAGGATAGAAAATCAGTTAGGGAGGAGTAGAATGACTGCCTTGCTACTTTAACTGCCCAGTTGAGATTACATAACACAAAATCGTAGCCAGCCCTAAAACTTTCACTTTTGTAATTTTCTTTAATTCTATTCATTAGCATGCAAATAAGGATGAAGGAGGTGAATAGTAGAACTAAACAGGGGTTGTGGTTTGGCAAGGTGTGATCAGCTGTAAGACAAGCTAGCCAGAGATGAGAGAGTAGAGAATAAGATAGAATTGCCAGACCAAGAAGTCAAGCTTGAGGGTAGTGAGGAGAGTGTAATCAGGGCAGGGGTGATAGCCTGGGAAAGGACTAAGGGGTGAAAAAAACAGGTCACGGGACCAAGAACATAGTTAGGGATTGTAACGCAGAGGGAATAATAAAAGGTTATGATCAGATAAAGAAATTCTGGAGTCCATGAACATGGAAGTGAAGCACTTGTGGGTGATAGGACCAAAGATATGATCGTCTCTGTGTATCTCAAGAGGAGTAGGAAATGTGCATTAAGTAGATTAAGGACCTGGGAAGTTTGAGGATATGAGGGAACATCAGTGAATGTGTATATTGAAGTCCTCTAGTATCAGGATAGGAAGTTGGGTAGGGAGAGACTGAGCTAAACACTAAACTCATTGAGGAAAGAATGTATCTGGGAGATGTTGATAGACAATAGCCCATGGTAGCTAGGTGCTAGAGGAGTTTGTGTTCTAGGGCAGAGCAGCAACAGAAAAGGCCCTGGAGACCACGGAGAAGTAGGGAGTTGGATATTGTCCCTGGCAAGGCCCCAAAGATAAAATCCATCAGAGCTGGGAGAGACCATGAGCCAAAATTTGCTGCTACGCAGCTTCTAACATTATTTACCTTCCTAAAACACTGGGATTTTCTTTTAGGCATGTTTTATCTAGAATGTATATGAAGAATACTGTTGTTTTAATATAGTAGAACTCAGTGATTTTGAGAATACTTTCAAAATTGCTAATCAGTTTCTGTAAAAATTGGGAGAATGGTCTTCTTAGTGGAATGAATGCAGGCTTTATCTAAGCTTTTATTACATGAATGACTTTCATATTAACATATCATGTAACACCTAACTTCTCCCTCCCTTGTTCAAAACAAGCTATAGCTATATGCTTAAGTTCCTTAAAATGAAAAAATTTTAAAGGCAATAGAAATTAAGTGTTAGAATTTAGAACAGTTCCCCTAAAAACTATCATTCAAACATTCTGTAGTATGGGTACAAATTCATTTCAGTTGAATTCCTCGAGCATTTATTAAGCACCTGTTACGTTCCAGGCACTATGCTAGGCATTGGGGAAACAAAGGCAGAAATGAAACAGTACCTGTCCTCAAGAAGCTTACTTTCTGCTGGGGAAAACCAGTATGTTCACAGATAAGTAAATACAAAATATATACGAAGTAATTTTGGGAAGAGAGGAGTAGTAATCAGTGTGGGAGTCAGGAAAGACCTCGTGTAGGAGGCAGCATTTAAATTGAGTCTTAAAAGCAAGGGATTCAAACAAGAGAGGTAAGGAGGCAGGGTATCCCAGGCCTGGGGCCTAATCTCGAAAGAAAAGGGCAGAGGCTCACAGAGAAGAGAGAGAAAATGTTATGGATGAGGAAGAGCAAATATGCTAATTTGGCTAGAATGAGAGAACATTAGTGTAGTAATGTTCACTCAATGTGGACAGATATCTTGGAGAGTGAAGTGCCAATTAGGGGGTGAGGAGATAATATTGCCAGGGGTTGAGACATGAATAGGAAGTGGAAAACTGAAGACAGACTCCTTTTCTGAGGAGTTTTATGTACAAAAGGCTGAGAGGTATAGAAGATCACTTTGAGGGATGGCAGAGTCAAGCAAATTGTTTCTTTTCTGGCCAGAAACCCTGTGGGTCTTCCCCTCCCAGATTGAATTTTTTTTCTTTTTCTTTTTCTTTTTCTTTTTTTGACAGGCAAACAAGGCCATTTCTTGCCTCATTTCTTAGCTAGCCTTAAATCACTGAACAGCAACACCCATTCAGGCAAACTGAGACCTGGGAACGAACTTAGCTTTAAAAGGCCTAGGTCTCCCACTGCATCTGGAGTCATCTCAATCATCCTGATATGTGTCTTGCCACTGGACTCAGATGACTGTGGAGGAAAGAGTGAGGCTAGTGACCTTGCACATCTCTGCCTCACTTAAATCCAATTCACTTGCAAGTCAAGACATTACCTTCCTGATGTCTTTGGTCCTCTTCAAGAACAAAGGACAAACAAAAACAACAATCTGATCCAAGCCTGTTTGCAGGCAGCATGATTGTGTGCCTTTATCCTGTGGTATTCAGCAGCATGCAAATAAAAGTAAAGGACGTTGATGGTAGTCCAGAATTGGGGTTCAGCAAGGGAATGAATGGTAGTAAGACTGTAGAGGAATATGTAGTTAACATATTTAAGTCAAGATTTTGAAGGGAAAAAAGATCACCAAGGATGATGGTTGGAAAAAGCAGAATGGAATGACTGGGGATTGGAGTGAGGACAGAAAATAGGTTTAGGTCAAAGGTGAAAATGTAAGGACTGGAATTATTGCTGGAGGAATTTTAGAGTTCTGAATTGTAGAAGTGAATACTTAGGTGATGAATTTAAAGAGTATTGAAAGAGTGTTTGAGGTGGCATTGGCATTTGAAGAGGTGATGAGCTAGAGACTCTAACATAAGGAAGAAAATTTGACCAAAATAACACCAAAACTTTGTGAGATTTGACCAATGTCAGGAATATAGTTCTGGAAGGGCATACCTCATTCAAGAGGAACAAGTTAGGTAAAGGGGGAAGGACAGCCGTTTATTATCCAAGAAGAGCAGCCAAAACAGAATCCTTGTCATTGGAGTCACTCGGAAGGAAGGAGGTTAAGCCCTGCCCTCGCCGGTCCTCCCCACCCCACCCCACCCCCCAAAAAAAAAGCAGAGCTAGTAGTAGTTTGGCTTTGCTTGATAATTTTATTCTCCAAAAGAATGAAGGTAGCACTAAGAGGAGCTGTTATTCTAGACCTGATTCTGACCAACAATGGGATATTCGGTGAAGGTATAGATAACATATTTACAGTTGACACAATGCTGGGTGGGATTGTTAATAATGTAGATGATATAATAAGGATCCAAGAAGATCTCAGCAGTCTAGAATGTTGAGCTAAATCTAATAAGAGGAAATTTTATAAGGATAAATATTTCTCTTGCATTTGGGTTCAGTCAGTTTCACAAATATAAAAACATCAGTAGGTGGTTGTGACTACTAGATTGGCTGAAGAAATGCTATTTACCCCAAAGTATCGGGGTTTTATTGGCCTAAAAGCTCAATAAGAGTCAGCACCCTGATAAACTAACCCCCAAAAAGTGGTGTAAAGCTACATTGAGAGGAGACATAGGATCCTAGAGCAGGGAGGATAGTTCCATTACACCCTGTCCAGGTCAGATCCGATCTGGAGTACTGTTCAGTTCTGGGCCCTACAGTTGAGCAGGGATGTCAGTAGTCTAAGGAACATCCAAATCAGGATAACCAGGCTAGTGAAAGACCTCAAGATAAAGGAACATGATGGTCAGTTGCAAGTACTAAAAGTGGAAAGAATTCTGAACTTGAGGTCACAGGATCCAAGTTCAAATCCTGACTCTGCTACTTATCTGAATAAGTCACTTGACCTCTCTGGACATTAGTTTCCTCATCTGTAAAATGGGGGGTTGGACTAAGTGACCTTGAAGATCCATTCCAACATTGAGCTGTAATCATATATTTAGCCTGTAGAGGGGGAATGGGGAATATTGTAGTTTGTTTCATGTATTTTAAGATACTGGAGGGAACAAAATTAGAACATTGGGTGAAAGTTGCAATTTTAGCCTTGAGCTAAGGAAAAACTCTCTATTGGCCTTGTCCTAAAGTGAAAGAAATTGGTTAAAATGGGAGTGGTTCTCTCCCCCCCACCCCCCAACAAAGTCTGCATGACTCCTTGTTAGGAATATTTAGAAGGAGTTTTGTTAAGGAGATAGAGGTGGCTTTAGAGGGCCTCTGATGTCCTTTTCAGCTCTCACCTTTCGGGTGACCTGCTTGAATATGGAGATATGTAGCACTCTGCATACACAGGCCTGCTTATGGCAAATGTGAAAGAACCGGAGGATTTAGGATCACGTATATTGAGCTTAAAGAGCCCTCAGGCCAGCTAATATAACCTTCTCCTTTTCTCAGTGAGGACCCCAAGGCCCAGGGAGGTTAATACATGGCTTGCTCAAGGTCATTGTTTCTTGACATGGCTGATGAGATAGACCTCTCTGCATTTGATCCAAGATATATTTGCAACACATTTCCAGTTCTCTTATTTTAATCATGTTTTCTTCATCTTGCAGGGCCCCATGTTGATGGAACTGCAGACATATCGTTATCATGGACACAGCATGAGTGACCCTGGTGTCAGGTATAATAAGAGGAACTCTTTAAGTGTGATCTGTAATTACATTTAAAATAGAAATTTGAGAAGAGTTCTTTAGGGTTTATATCCCTGTATAGGGTTTATGTCATCATCACGTTGAAAAGTGAAAATTCAGACAATTGGGTTTTCTGACCTGCAGTGCCAGATAATCATTTGGGGCTTCTTCTCCCCCCCCCACCCCCCAAATTGTATTGGTCAGATAAGTTATATCTTAGGTATCTGATATTAGCAAATACAATAGTTAAGGCTGAAAGTATAAAATAGACTATTAAACTAATTTAGTTGCAATAAGAAATCAGTGCTATAAAAGTTACATATGTAAAATGATAAAAAAAAAAAAAACTTCCCTTGTGGAGTTCTTAACTTTAAGCAAAGTCTGAGAAAGAAAATGATCTTTAGGAGAACTTTGTGTATTTTTAAAAAATTGAACCTCTGATTTCATTCTTACCTGAAATTTCCTTTGCATTCAATGTAGATTGGCACCTGCTGTGCAACTTATAGACTAGTAGTCTGGAACATTGAGAAGTAACTGTGTAATGTGCTCAAGGTCACACAGAGGTAGAACTTGAACCCAGATCTTCCTGACTTTGACTTTCTGTCTAATCTGTATTCATCTCCTCTGCCACAGTTGCCTCTCAAGGCAAGGATACCTGCTTGTATAATAAAGATGTCAGACTAGGGAAATGATACTCCCAAGTGAGCAACCACTATTACTGGATCTAGTTCTGCAGTTCATATTCAGAATTGAGGAAACTAAACTTAAGTGAAAACTAATTGAAGCCTTTTTGTTTATAAAATGGAATCTGCTGTGTAACATCTAAAAACAAAAATACCTAAATAAAAACATTTAAATAATGTTAGCTGTTGGTCAGTGCAAAGTGTATAGAAAGCCAGAGTTTAGAGCTGGAAGGGACCTTAAAAGTCATCTAGTTAAAATCCCTCATATGACAGATGAGGAATCTGAAGCCAAAAGAGGAAGTCACTTTTCCCAGGAAATACAGGCAGTATCGGAGGGCCAGGATTTTGCCCTAGATCTTCTGACTTCAAGTCAAGTACTCGTCCAACACCATGGAAATTATGTGACCCTTTTCTTTTTTTTTTTTTTTTTTTTTTTTCAGCCAAAGACAAGGTTTATTAAAGATCCGCCATATTAGCCAGACTCTTAAGAAATCTGAGCACCTGTGAGCTATTGGCTAGATTGTAAAAATCTGAACCATGACCCTTTATTAAGGAATTAGTTATTATTAAGGAATAAGAGGGCATCCCTGTCTAGATACTTCATTACTTTGATAGATCTTTGATTTCACTGTGGGTATTCCTAATGATATGCCCAGTGATAGATAAAAAACTCTTGTGACTGTTCCTTCCATAAATTCTCCACAGGAGATCCATCCAACACATCCTGGAATGTTTCAAAGTCTCCTAAATTAGATCTATAATCATTCAAAAGTGTTTGACTCTACTGGGGGAAGAAAAAGTAGATAAAGAATACCTATTGTGCAGTTAAATGAACAGCTGCCTAGGGTTAGTCCATTAGTAGATGGATGGATGGATGGATTGGGTGGTTAATCACCTATGCAAATGGACAGTGAGTTAAACAGGAAGAAGAGAGTAGCAATACTTTATTCTGTTTCTAGGGTTTTGTACATTGTTGCTATGTAAAAAATGTCACTTCCCTACTCAAAAATCTGTGGTGGTTCCTCATTGCCTTTCAGTAAATTCCTAATCTTGGCATCCCTTCACAATCTTATTGCAGCCTCTTTTTCCAGTCTTATCCCATACTACTCCCTCACATCCAATATCCAGTCAAACTAAACTTTGTCCCCCACCAGCCTTGATCAGATTATCTCTGGAACAAACTCCCTGCCCGCCTAGTCTTAATCTGTTGCAATCCCTTCTTTCAAGGCTTCTCTACCACACAGGTGAAAATGATCTTTCCTCAGATTTCTCACAGTAGTTCACCCTTCCCTCCCCCTGTTAATAGTTATTGCATACATGTTTCCCTCACTCCTATACCTCCTCCTTTTAGATCATGATCCCCTTGAGACCAAGGGCTAAATTAATAGCTTTCTATACTCCTGGTTGTTGCTGGGAACAGTTTTTGCTGGTTTCAGGGAAGAAGAAAAAAATGCATTTTTCCCTCTTTGAGGGTCCTGTGTGCCCTCAGGGGCACAGTAATAGTCACTTGTTTCTCTGCTGTTATAAGATACATGTATAATGGACCATTTCAGTGAGTTGGCTGTTCATCAAACTGCACAGCACATTCTTTAGCCACTATTTTTATACTCCACTCGAGTACCTCTAAAGCTCCTCCTATACCCATAAATTCAGAACCACAGCCCTCAAGAACATGGGAGCACATGGAGATGACTGGGAAAAACCAAGATAATTATCAGAATATATGTAGTGGTGGTGGTAGTAATTTTTATTCTTTCCTCAGTAGTAAGGATAGTGCTTATCAAATGTTTAGGTCAGGTTCTCTTTGAGTTACTGATTTTTCTGACAAATCAAAATGTAGTCAGCAATTTGAATTATAATTCTCTCTATTTTTATAGAAGAGAGCAGTATTTCTCAGAATTTTTTTTGTTTTAATATATTGATCAAACATATGTGAATTGTATTTTGCAAAGCTATCACCTCCTACCTTGGAAGAGGGTATTTTTTTTCTCCTTTTAAAGATAATCTTTGTTTTACAACATAGTTATCGTACTCGGGAAGAAATTCAGGAAGTAAGGAGTAAGAGTGACCCTATCATGCTTCTCAAAGATAGAATGGTGAACAACAACCTTGCCAGTATTGAAGAATTAAAGGTAAGATCATGTTACAGTAGTCTGTCGTTAACTGTTTGAGTGATTTTGCCTTTCTTTGTTCCTGGATGGCAATGCTTAAGAGGGGAAAAAAGAGGCTTGAGGTTGCCTAAATCTTGGAAAAGAACTTCATCAGGCCTAAAAGAAATTAGAAAATTAACCATTTTTCTTTTTTTTTTTCTTTTTTGAAACTGTGAAGCCTTCCATTTAAGCTATTGCTAATGCTTAAATGACAGTAGAGCTTACTATTAAGAAAACCTTGGTGATAGAGCAAATGTTCAGTTCTTACATGAATAAAATCACAAGAATATTTCAGTTGACTGAGGCTATAAACAGTGTGCCATTGAACTAGCGTTAATACAGTCTGCTTCCAAAGTCTCTTTGGAAAAGTGAACAACTGGCCATTTTCAAAAATGGTTTGACAGATTAAGTCTAACTGAAAAATCTTCCTGCACCTAGTTCTTGGTATGAGCTTATTAGCTTTTTTTTTCTTAATTTGTAGAAATACCATTGGTATTTTTACAGTCCCAGTGGTACAGAATAACTACCACTCGCCATCCTTTCTGACTCATAGGTTCCCGACACAGCAATACATCCCCCCCCCCCCCCCCCCTCCACTGGAACGTTTCAGGGGGTGGTAGTAGCCTCAGGTGAAATTGAGGGGGCCTTGAGTAAGGACAATAAGGAAAGAAGAGAAGAGAAGAAAATTTTCAAAAACCGTTCATACATGTTTCATCTGTTGTGTAACAGAGTTAAAGCTGTAGTGATTACATTTTTTTCCAAATAAACACAAAATGCAAATTATAACCAATCAGTGCTGAAGGCTTAACCAGTAGGTGTTGACAGGAGAGTGTGTTGAATTGTCGGGAAGTCCAGCATGCATTGGCAGGAATATGTGTGTGTTATGACTTGTTTACAATATGATACTATACGGTTACATGACACAATATTTCGTTACCAAAATTTCAGTGCAGAAAAACCCCCACAAATTTACAATAAACTATTAAGTTTAAGATGCGTAATTTTTTTGAAATGACTCAAATAAAAAAAAATCATTAAAGAGTTAAAGTAGATTTTCAGGGGGGCCCTGAGTATTTTTTTTTTAAAAGAAATTCAGTAGGCCAAATAACCTCTGCTTAATCAACAAGGAACTGATAGCACTCTGTACATAGTAAATACTCAATGAATATTGATTTAATTGAGTGTTCAAATCCTCTTAACTTTTAAAAGGAAATTGATGTTGAAGTAAGGAAAGAGATTGAGGATGCCGCCCAGTTTGCTACAGCTGATCCAGAGCCACCTTTGGAAGAATTAGGCAATCACATCTACTGCAGAGAGCCACCTTTTGAAGTTCGAGGTGCAAATCAGTGGATCAAGTACAAATCTGTCAGCTAAAAGGAAGTATGTGTTGAAACTTATATAAGGTCTTTAATGGAACTTTATCTTGTCAGCTCTAAGAAACTAAGTGTTAGGGATGAACCTTCACAAACAAGCATTTTGAATTGTCATTAGAAGATACTAAATTCAGGGCAGCTAGGTGGTACAGTGGATAGAGCTCCAGCCTTGGAGTCAGGAGGACCTGATTTTAAACCCAGCCTCAGACGCAGATACTTACTAGCCGTGTGACCCTCGGCAAGTCACTTAACCCCTATCGCCTCACCAAAAAAAAGAAGATGCTAAATTCATTACCTTGAATTCAAAGGTAACTAGTCACATCCGTGCTTTATTTGTATGTTATGTTAATTGTTCTATTAAAGGAACAGAACCAGTTAATTAGTTTGTGTGGTTATTCTACAGTTTACAGCCTTTTTTAAAGATGGAGATTAGAAAAAGTACCGGGAAAGTAACTTAGCTGGAAAAAATGTATTTTCTCACATAAACAAAACCTTAACCCTTTTTGTTGACTAGAAGGAAACCCTAATTTGCTTGGCTCCCCCAAAAAGCCGACAAAACACTCAGAGGGAAAAAAAAACGCTTTTTTTTGTTTCAGCCTGATGAGCTAGTGTTATCACTGAATGGCAAGCACTGTTGGGTGTTAATTCTTAGTACATAGTTTAGAATAATGCAGTTATAGTGTTACAATGAAAAATTTTGTCAAATGTTACCATGATTAATTTTATTAGAACAATTGCATCGACTTTTATTTTCATTTTTTGGAAGGATGAAGTGTTGAATTGTCATTCCCAACCAAGTCATGCTTTTAAAAATAACAAGTGGGGAAAAAATCAAATAATTTACTTTCTGTTTATATATAAACACAAAGATGGTTTTTCTCTTGAAAATTATATATTTACATCTAAATTTCAGGTTTTTAAGTACAATAGGAACTATTCCTTTGCTAATTATTAATTATATGCTAATAAGCCTATCTTTGTAAATCTTCAGTACTAACAATTAATGGTTATTTTATTATAATAATACCTTCCCCTCTTTCACTCTCCCAGCAAGTGCTATAAAACACAAATGTATATATTTCAATTAGTAAATTAAAATTGTTCTTTAAAAAAATCAGGATACACTGGCATGTCTAAACCAAGATTCCTTTAGCTGGATATGACACAATTTCATATATATATATATTGTGTCTACATATTTATTTCAGTTTTCATAAATGTATCATTATTACATATATTCTAAATAACATCTATTTTTGTAAAATAGTTATCTGTTTAGAATTAAATTCCTAAATTGTTAATTGAATAAACAATTGAACAATATTGCGCAAAAGTAGAATTTGTACACATATTTACAAGAAGTTTAACAAAGAAAGATGTGGAATGTTTTAACTCACTCATTTCCACAGTTATTTTGTTACTGTTTTGTTTTTTACTGTAATTAAACCTGCTGTTTGATTTGTGAGGGTTCACAAGCTTGCTGTCTGTGCTTTGAGACTGTGTTCCAGATTCTGCAGAGAAGACCACCACTATGAGGATTAAAAAAAAAAAAAGTTCCCATTAAGAAGTTATTTTGAAGCAAATGGACTGTTCTAGAGGTCATTCTTAGGACCCTCAGCATAGTTTTGTGTTCTGAAACATAATGCCTAATTTTTAAACTTTAACATTGTTTAACATGTTCATACTTAGTATAAACGATTGTTCATCTAAAGAACACATATTCTGGTAGCTTAATCAATTTGCCTTGACTCAGCTGTGAGAAATAGATTTATTTTTAATGACCTATCTTTCCCTCCCCCAGCCAGTTCTACCCCTCCTCCTACATACAGGAGAGGGACTAGTGGAAGATTACGCAGGGAAAGCATTACTTGCCTTTTATTTTAAATGCCTATTTGTGTCCTTCTACCTGTTCTCCCCCTATCCCTAAAGAAGATGTATGTATTCAGTGATGATTGGACTAGGATTATTCTTTTAAGACCCTAAATTTCTAAGCTGAGCCATTGGAAGAGATGAGAATTATAGCTTCAGAAAGTAAAGGGTATGTTATAAGTACTTAGTCTTCTTATAAATGAAAAAGTTATTCCTTACCCATCCCCCACCCAGTAGCATGGTTTTTAAAAGGGAGACTCAAGGATCCAGGGAACTCTGAGGCTTGATGGCTTTATGAAAACCAACTATTTGAAATCTTCTTCCTCATCTGTTGTCATAGCAAATAGAAAGTTTTATCTATTTGCAGATGATTCCCAGATTGATAGATTCAACCATAATCTCTGGTGCCCCAGTCCCACATTAACTGCCTAGTAAACTTTTTGAACTGGATGTCCTGTAGGTATCTCAAACTCAACCTGTCCAAATATGGACTTCATTGTCTTTCAAACTAAGATTCACCCCTCTTCTGAACTACCCCATTAGTATCCAGGGTACCATCATCCTTCTAGTTACTTCACAACCTTGCTGTTGTCCTGGACTTGTAACTCACCCCATCTGTCCAGTCAGTTGCCAAATCTTGTTTCTGTCTGTTCTCACAGCCACCACCCTAGGTCAGGGCCTCCTATTGCCTAAAGTAAAGTTGGCCTGAGTCTAGGCCAACAGGGTCCTTATGAATCCAAACTTCACAGAACAAATCCCCATAAAAGGATTTAGTCAAAGGGGCTGGACTTGAGGACCTAGAGGGCCACATGTGGCCTCAGGGCCACAGGTTTCCCATCCCTGCTAAAAACTATTCCTCACTCTAATTTATACATATTAGCCTTAGTTTTGACCTTTTTGGACTAACTGGTTTTCTTCCAGCTTTGGTTTGAGGAAGTTCTTACCGAAGTCCAAGATATCGTAGGTCTTCTTTAGTGATATCATTAAGAATGTCATAAAGTGTGTAACCCTCTTCAACAATCTGAAAGAAAAACCAAATATATGAGAGGGAATCAGCTTTTAAAGCTAGAATTTCCATAATTTTGTGGGGGTTTTTTACCTTTCCAATTGTATTAGCATCAGCTCCTTGTAGTTTCAACCAGTCTGTGAGCTCACTGTCTGCCCTTTGTACCTGTGATTCAAGAGGTCGTATTGGAATATCCAGATTATCTGTAACAGAATTAAAAATGAATTTTATGTAATGTAAAGTGGGATTTGTAGAAAAGAGGCCACAGCAGAATGTAGATATAAAATGGAAACTAATTAAAGCTATAGGATTTGTCAGCCACAGTTTATGTATTCAGCTGTGTGGCACTCTACTAAGCCTGAAGGAGAGAGCCCAGCACCTAGCTGGGGCCAGTTCTGTCTCCTCAGAAGCTACCTAGGGCAAAGACCAAGGCTGGTGAATCATCATAAAGTGCCTGGTGTGAGAGGAGACAGATGGCTTTGAAGTCCAGCCCCCTGGGAAAGGGAAGGAGTGGGAAAGTGAGCAGTACAGGACTACCGGGGGAAATAAAGACTAAAATGACCAGAAACTCAAGAGGATAAAAACTCAAACATCAACATAAGCAAATAAACCAACAGTGTTCCAGATTGGGTAAAAGAGTCCAGACATCTATGAATAAATATTGCCAGACAAAAGAAAATAAAATTGACACTTAATGAGGCAGAGGATCTTGTGGATGTCCAAAGCAGAGCAGTTCATATCTCTGGAGGAGCTAATTCAACATTAGAATGAGCTCTGGACTAGATTGTGACCTGAGTGTTAATTAGACAATGAGTATTTCAAACCTACCTTCTATAACTAGTCAGGCCTTAGGTCTCCACTGTCCCTGTATTAACCACCAGGGAGAACCACAGACTTGACATCTGCCCTGTCACCCTTCTCCCTATATACCAGCCTTCAGTCCGGGACCAAAGACCTTCTTGTGATTCCCACACTGACAAACAATACGATCCACAATGGAGTGAGCTCTAGCGTAGAACTGACCTGGTGACCCCAACACTTTGACCTCTAGACAGAACCAAAGATTTGCTTCTGCTTCCCCTAACATTCACTTCTTGCTCAAGTATTGATCAGCAATTAAATATTATCATGTATTCTCTAAGGAGCATGACAAGGCAGAAGTCCCCTTCCCTGGCCATCATCTCCCATTTCCTTATAGTTTCTGTGTCTCTATCCCACTCCACACTATCAAGCAATCAACACATGTAGCTTTTATTAAATGCCAGGCTCTGAACTAAGTAAGCACTGGGCACAAAAAGAAAGGCAAAAATGGTTCCTTCCCTTACATTCTACTAGGGAAGACAAAATATAAATAAATACGCTTTTTATTCATTGTGCCCTCTGAATCCCCCATTCTGTTGTTAACAAAATGTCCTTCATATTTGACAGCTGTAAAGTGGGGATAATAGCATATTTATAAAGCACTTTACAAACCTTAATGCATTATATAAATGCAGCTATCGTTATTGTTATCAAACATATGACATCCCCTGGAAATTATATATATTTTTTATTTAATTTTCCCATATACACATACATATATACACATGTATGTTATATGTATGTGTGTGTATATATGTGTATGTGTATATATATATATATATACACACACACACACACACACACACACACACACACATACTCTTCACAGATACATAACCCCCAGTAGAATATAATGTCCTTGAGGAAGGATTGGGTTGTTCGGTTTATTTTGTCTTTGTATCTTCAGCATCTAGCATTGGGCCTCACTTGATAAGTGCTTATTGAATAGAATAACTAATTCCAGTGAAGAAGACAGGATATAGTTATCTCTTCCACATTGTGACTTTCCCCATTGCAGCTTCAATATATGGTGGGTCAGCATGAAAAATTAAATGGGAATTTGGGGGGAGTTTTGTGGAAACCGCAGATGACATAGAGCCTATGACCAAATACTTAGTCTAGATTTTACAATAAGAGAATGTAAATTCCCCATAAAAGAAAAAGGAAAAATTCGGACTTCTCCGGTTTGTATGGGGATTTTCCAGATCGTTGCGGAGGGAGGAGGGCGTGCCCCTAGTACCCATGAGGTGGAAGGGATAACTATAGTATCTAAAATGTTGATCTCAGACCCAGAAAGAGATCGTAAATGAAACAGTCCAATCACAGATCACGAATGCATTTGTCATCTGAGAAGAACTTGCAAGGGAGTAGCAGAGAGAAAGAGAGTTCTCAGCTTCTCAAAAGGGAGTGGGGAAAGGGTGAGATAATATAATTTCTAGAGGCTTTTGGGCAGACAGTGGGGCTTAAAG